CCCCCCCCCGTAACTTTGAGCTGTGAACCCTTTCCCTAAAAGGAGAGAGAGAGAGAGAATGTTAACAGGGTTTTTGTCATTGTACAAATATAAGTTGTTATTGATGTTAATATTATCTTAGGACTTGAAAAGCCAAAACAAAAACATTTCGCATGGAAATTTCTCCTCAGGCTTGTGAACCCCCATCCCACTCCAGGGTTTCCCCCGGTCTAACCTCTGTCCCAGGGCAGGGTTGATGGACCTTTTCTCTGTGCCCTCCCTGGGGATGCTCTTCTCCAGCACCTTCTAAGTGTTCTAGTCTCCTGACTGCCTCCTTGCCTACGTAGTAGCTGATTCCTAGCCAGTAATTACACCCCCAGGGAAAATGGGGCTCCAGGGCTCATGAGGACTAGAATTGGAAATCTCCCTTTTCAAAAGTAATGCTCTGGGAATTCATTTATGAAGAGAAACACATTCTCACACAAAAAACCACAGTGAAACTAATTGATCAAAAGTTTTAAAACCCTGAGGTCTCCGGGCTACCTTGTTCTTCTTGCAACTTGAACCACATATTGGGTCTTTTCCACCTGCCCACGTCTCAGACCTGGTAAACCCACCTTGCTTTTCACTGGTCATAACTTGAAGGCCAATGCCGCGTTCCTGCCCCTGGGGCTCCCGTCTCCGGAGCAGCTGCGGTGGCACCCGTCCTGTTGTTGAAGACAGCGGCTCGAAGTTAAGGGGGCGCTCTGGGAATTCGGGATTCTCCTTCCCCGGCATGTGTGCCGGTTTCCCCCCGAGTCGAATATTTCCCGTTGCATTGCCAGCTTCTGGAGATGAGGGTCTCTGGGCTCTTTTCCTTTTTTCTTGCTTAGGAAAAAACCCAAACCAAACAGTGCCAACTTATTTAGTATTTTACCCTCACGGCTTCTTGTTAAACCTTCTTGATTGGTCTGAAGAATAAACCTTTTTGATTTCTTGGATCCTGCTCTGTTCAATACAATGAGCACTTGCCACCTCTATTTCCTTTAAATTAGTTAAAATTAAGTAACTTTAAAATTCAGTTCCTCGGTCGTACCACCTCCTTCTCACGTCCTCAGGAGGCACCGTGAGTGACTGGCACAGGTACGGGCGGGTTTTCGCCTTGGCACGTGGTTCTCTTGGGCAGCAGTGTGCCAGGCCCCCGTTAAGCCTCTTGGGCTCTCTGCCTTATTTCCACCCCTTTGCTTGCAGTGCTTTGTTGCGACAAGGACCCTCGCTTTTCCGCTCAACACTTGGGCCTCTGTATGTGAGGTTCACTAGGAAAATGGGGAGGTGGAAGCCCAGCCTGTAGCAGCACCGGTGGCGCAGCTTTCATCTCTTCCCCCTCTCCCCTGCTCTGGGCCCGCTTTCTGCCCACCGTGACCTCCGCTTCTCTGACCCGGCCGCCAAGCTCAGCACTGGGCCGGCTGCGTGGTCAGCAGCCACCAGGGGGCAGCCGAGTCTCGGTTGTCGCCCTAGCGTCCCAGCAGCTAGGCCAGGGAGAGAGAAATTACAGCGCTTTCTCATTTTTTTTCTTTTTCCGACTGAATTTTGCTTTAAAAATAAAACAAACTCTGCAGAACAGTTCAGCATAAAGCGTTAAACATAAAAAGTCCTCTCCCTCTTATCCTTCCCTCGTATCCATCACTGCTTTAGCTAAACCTCTTGCTTGAATAAAATACTGCGGTAACTTTAGTTTTGGAATCAGAAGCTTGTTCTTGGATATTCATAAATGTAGTGATTTCTGGCCCCACTGGACCCACGTGCCCTCGCCTGTTTTCTTCCTAGCAGGAAACCACCAGAGGGCAGATATTGCTTTTCTTTTTTCAAAACCTCCCTGGTGCTGAGAAGGCATGTTCAAGGAAGAAGAGAAGATGGCTGTCCCCTCCAGATCCCTGGGTCTCACTGCTGCTG